AATCCAGTTTTGCAATTCCAAATTTAAAATGGTGGCTAAAAAAGAAACAAAATAAGGACTGATTTAATTTCCAGTTGAAGTCACATTAACACACCAGATTTTAAATTTACTAGATATAAATGAAAATTAATTAAAAATGTCTAAAATAATTTAACTAGTACTTTTTGCTGCATTCACGTGCTAGAGACGGGGAATATTCCCTTGGTTATTATGTGAAAGTGTTAAAAACACCTTACAACATATCACTATTATCATATTATCTATTTGGTTATATTTATTTGGGTATAATTCCATTGAAGGAAAGACTTTGAATAGACTTGGCCCTTAATCATGCAGTACTGCCTAAAAACCAAGTAAACATAATGCCTCACAGAGTTTTTCCAGTTGTAATTACAAGTTAAATGTTGATGTGAACACAATTTACAAAGTCTGACAATTGTAATTATGATAAATTCGATATGACATGAATGCCACATTACCCATTTCTGGAGATCACGTCACACCTCAGTACTGACATTTGGATATTTGTGTCCAGTCTAAAAAGTTTTTAAGAGGTGGTATTATGCTTTTTGGATTTCCCCCCTCTTTTATTGTGTTATGTATCTTTTTTGTGCATGTAATATGTTTGTACAGTGAAAAAGCTCAAAGTCCACCCCAAAGCAAGTTACACTGTTCCTTAACTGCCTGAAAACAGTTCCACTGTAGTCCAGCCTTTACTTCTGTAACGTATCTACAACACTTTGTAAAACGTGTCATAATCATAGTGTGGCGCGCCCTCAAAAACACTGGTGGAGAAACACACTGAGCTGTGACAAGACATCCCCTCATCCTCACCCCCCCTACCGAATGTTAGCTACCCTCCAGGCAGTCAGTGGACATGTTACTGTGATGTAGAGACAGTGCAAAGTTAAAACATTAAAAGATCAAATTTTATAAATGACTATCTTACCCCTCTGAAACTGTTGCTCCAGTATAGGTAAGTTGGTTCGGGAACATATACAGTTGAACCAAAGCCGTGTTTCCCAGCTTTTTATACAGTCTATGGTTTTTCAGCTTGTCGGGACTCACCTACTCTGCTTCTGATTGGCTAGTAGTCCTTAACTAGATACTGCACATCAAAACAGAATACAAGTGAGATGCTTTACTCCATAGCTAAAATGAAGCGTTCAACACACAGGGTAAAAAGAGGAGCTGCAGCAATTTGCAGTGTGACAAAAATATGGTGTTATTTGAAAATGAAACCATGTAAACATCTTCTAGGACAACCCTTAAAAAAAACTATGAACCTGAAAATGAGCATAATATGGTATGATATGGTGGTGATTACCTGATTATTAGTAATTTATGGTGCACCACACTGCCCTTTCTCTTGTAATTTTTTATATTTCCATTTCCATTTAATATCACCTGTGCAATCATCTCACTTTCTGACCTGTCAGTTTTGGCACAAGTTTTGCCCTCATACACCTCATCCACCGCCATGATAGACGTTCAGTATCAGTATTATGTGTGGTATCTCTTCTTTGCCACACTGTTGAGCTATGCAGTGCCACATTATGAAAGTTGCATGTTCCTAAAAAGACCTCAGTTACGTCCACTTGGTTTCCACTCAATTTATTTCTCTCATGAAGTGAAATAAATTAGAATTAACTGCAAGTCAACGTTTGAAAGAACAGCAATTTCTTTTCAGTGAAACTGGTTCATCTTTCAGGTTGGTTTCATCTCTGAATCCACAGAGATGCTGTGGCATATCATTTAATGCTACTGTATCTTAATAATTTGCACACAGAGCTGAGAGAGTAGCAGATAAAAACCAGTATTAATGTTATGTTCTGACAGCATTAGCAGCACGTTCAACTTCAATCTAATCCTGAAGGTTAAATTATTAATATGTACTTTAATCTAATTTCCAGCTAAAGACACATTAACATAGTGAGGACATTTCTGCACACAGTAAAACACTTTTTGTTCTGTTTCTTTGGCAATGTTGGCCATTAGGACTTCTGTGCCCTCTTGTGTTCACATTTACACAATACCGGTATAACATTATTATAAATTAAGTATATTGTCATAGTTGTTAGTATAGCACATGTATGTCTGCTGTCCACATGCTGTGGTTTTTCTCTAAGTGAAACCGCATTACCTTCTCTCTAGTTAAAATGCTGCAGCTGCCAACGAAGTGCACTTCCTGTCTGAGATTAAGAGAACAAGTGGTCTGCAGCTGTATCTTAAAGTCCAACTGAAATTAAGTTGGTTCTTTTGCGTCTTCGTATCTGCTCTGTACATCACGTGTCCTATCATCTTCATAGTGGCTTCTCCTAGTTTGGCATTAATTCGATGGAATTTGAAAGGCACACTGAGAGAGCCACAGACAAACAACCCACATTATCTTTCCTGCAAAGTCTCATTCTTATCTAACTTATTAGCACGAACACACGTCTTGTCCTGCAACTTAGCTTGTTGAATGACCCACCAAACAAACATTCTGCAAGGACAGGTGTGCTGCTAACGTCAGCTACAGCTAATTAGCCGCTAAGCTGCAGCACATTAAACAGCATGTAAACAGAAAAGTGACTTGGGTCTTGTTACATGCTGCTGTCCTTAGCTTTCTCTTCAACGTCACTATTTCCCCAAAGGTATACATTTAAAAACAGATTGGCATCATTTTTGATCAGTTGGACTTTAACACACGCATGCTTTAAAATGAACATGCATAAACATATAGTGTGTGTAACTATTCTATCCCCCTGTGATACACAACGTGTCTGATTTACATGCTTATCTTCATTGTGGTTGCAGCAGCAGGTAGTGTTAGTGCCTCTGCTGTCTTTCTGAGGTGTCTTTTTCCCTGTCTACAGTGTAGTGCTACTATTAACCACTCACCGTTTAACACAGATTGAGAACAAGATTGTGTTAAACCCTTCTCACGTTTTAATGAACTTGCAAGATCACTGTTATCTACAGTGTTAAGCCAGAGAAAACAAGAGGATTCATCAGCACGGCCGGTTTGCAGGTAAATAACAATTTAGTTTCATCAGAAAAACTGATATTTTGACTGGGGATCAGTGCTTAAATTGGACTGAAATATGTTGAATATGTTTCCAGATTGATTTTCGTCTTATTATAACCAATAACCTTCTGCTATACGTAACCTTAATCCAACCTCAACAACTGAGAAGCTGAACCATGACGTAACGTTAACATAGGCTCTAATTCAACAATGGAGAGCAGCATTATGGGAAACGGGCACAACAGAGACACAAGACTCGTATTCACAGGTTAGAGCAGATAGCAGATATGGCCAGCATGCCCAAGTCCCTTACTAAAAATATCTTTGGATCCTGAAATGGATTCAGACTGCCAAAACAAATGAAAAAATGAAATAACTGATGAAAGATCTTCATTAAATCTACAGCTGCTGCTGTGACTTTTCCTGTTCCACTTTGAATGACAGAGCCCGTCCCGTCATGTTCACACATTCAACTTGACATTTACCATGTTTAATTATTTAAAAAATAATGACTTGCATCTTTATTACACACCTCATAAATTGATGAGTATTGTCATACAGAAGTGGCACATGGCATGCAGGAGTTATACCAGGATGTTATCCAAAATAAAAGCCACATGCTGTGCAGGAGCTGGTTCAGACTACTGTACTTGGTTTAAATTCAAGTCCCGATGGTGATGTGGGGCTAGGAGAACGGTCACGCCATTAGTGTTTAAGTTCTGTTCATTACATATCCACAAACGCACAGGAAGGGAGGCAGCGGTGAGTGTCCTTGGAAAAAGCAACTTGATTGGACATTGTGGTTTGTTTCTTCTCTCTGTCTGATCTGAACTCTCAGGCTTTCATCTCTGATGAAACCACAAAAGAACAGTTAATGAACGTTACCAGACGCTGGAAGCTGATTTTCATCAGCAGAGCACCAGTTTCAAAGTCAGGAATCCACATGAGGCTGAAAACACACGTGAACAGAGTTCTTTTGAACAATATCCTGATTCTGTAATTCATATATCTAGACACAGCTGTGCAGGTTATACACGTTGTCTTTTCAGTGAGCATTGAGTAGAACTACCTCGTGCAGTTGTACCATTTCTTTACACAAATAGGTCAGTTTCAGTCCTATTCCAGCTGCAGGGGTTTATGTCCTGGACTTGTGGATTTGTTTGGTCCTTCATGTGCAATTCCTCACTTTCCTCCTTTTGTTTTCTGTTTTCTTTACTGCTTCCTGTTAATGTTCACTGCTGCAACGACTTAAAATCAGTTTCACGCTAAAGTGACTTTGCCATCATAAAGTGTCCAGGACATTGTATTATTGTGATTTGGGTTTATTTATATTTAGTTTGTGTTTTTTTTGCTTTAGGAAATTTGATAAATCACAAAGGAATAGAAGTGTTTTTCCAGCTTTTGTTTACGTTTGGTCAAGTGCTGTTATTCATGGTTTACGCTACATGGTTTCATGTAGCGTAAACAGTACTTATAGTGTCAGTAGGTGCAGTAGCAGCAGAAGCAACAGTAGCAGTCTCATAGTGTACAGTTTGTGTACAGATTTTCAGAGGAAATGCTGCCACCTTATGGTAAAACACGGTGCTGCTGAGTCTTTTAGGATCAGTAGGGTACAATTCGACTGCATATTGATGATATAATTAATGAATAGTACACAAGTGGCTAGTATTGGTTGCAGTTGAGGGAGGAGTCGTCATTGGAGCACTAGGAGGATGTCAGGTGACCGACGCAGCCAGTCAACATTTGGCTGCTGTTGTTATAATTAGGATCATTGTCCCGCTGCATTTTCCTAAAATATGGGGACACAATATGCATGAAGGTCAGCACTTTAACCCCAAAACAAACAAATCTAATACTGTTTTCACTTATGTGTGTGATTTCATCTGTCTTTTTTTACACTTAATTTAAATTAAGTGATTTAAATTAAATTTGAATATTAATTTTTCAAACAATTAATTGTTTTGATTGAAAACTCTTTGCATGAAAAAAATACAAAATGTATTAAAGTTTATTAAACTGTACACTGTGTGGACATAATCACAAGCATGACACTGATCTCATCATCTGTCATTATTTTAACCAACACTGTAGAAAACAAATTAAACATTTAGTCAAACTGTAATCATAGTTTACTCAGCTGTCGCATATCAGTTATCTATGTGTGCAATATGATTTCTTTTCATCTCCTGTTTGTTTCACTGCAGTTTCTTAAAATACAGTAATTCCTCCTAAAGAGCTAATCAGGCACTTAGTAAAAAGAAAAAGCTAAAATAAACAAAATCAAATAAGATCAAATCTAAAATAACATCTCATACATTGGCTACCATCAGAACTACATGAGTGTGATTTAATTCCCAGCATAGCTTCTACTCAATAACCTAAAACATGTTTTTAAAAGTCAAAAAAAGTCAATCAATATTTTTTTAAACAAATCAGTGTCAGTAACACCGAGGAAAAAAGCACATGAGAATGTTTGCAGGACATTATTACTTCAAAACATTTTGAAATGAGCATTTCATCACACAAAAACAGACAGAACTGTTAGCAGATGCTATATTTGTTTTTTTACAACCAAATGATCAAAAATAAACAAACTTTTAATTTAAAGTCTGACATCAGCTGTGTCAGACTTTAAATTAAAAGTTTCTTTGATGTTTGGAGCTTCGTTAGGTTTATTAGTATAATTGGCCCAATAATCTGAAATACTGAGACAATGGGTGTGATTGTGGATGAACAGAGATGTCGAGATGTTTCCAACAAAATGTGAGAGCAAAAGATGTTTCAGTGATCTAAAGACATCAGCAGGATGGACCTAAATGCAGCTCAGCAGCGAGGCTTTGGGCTTGATAAGCTGTCCCTCTACTGAAAACTGACCGCCCAAAGTAAAAATACCTTTTTAATATGTTTAATTAGTACACACATTAATTGAACGTGCTGCAATTCTGAAGAGCTGCCAGTCTTTCATTCCTTTTTGCTCTTTGGCTTCTTTGTGCCTGCATTTGTGCACGGACTGAAAAAAAACTTCAGATCTCTACATCTGAACAACTCTCCTCCCTTTCACGCAATGAATCTTTCTTTTTAGTTTTCTGACCTATCGAATGTTTCTGTTTTCTGTTTAATTTAGGTTTTATTTTTTAGCAACATCTATCAGTTTAAATCTAGTTTTAGCTCCGTTTGGTTAGCTTAGATTGGCATTATGAATTTTGAGTCCAGCAGGTTCCCGTACCTTTATTTCACTTCCCTGAATGTCAGCAGTTCTGCCCCTTTGTTCTCGCTCTTTGCGGACAACAGAAACAAGCTCACAACTGGGAGCTGCTGAGACTGACAGTAAAACAGAGTGGATCTGAAACTGCTCTCTGTCCGTTTTCACAGAATGAATAAAGGTTTTAAATGTTGCTGGTGTGAAAATGAAATTACAACATTTCCCTGTGCAAAAGACACACACATCAGCAGCATTCACTGTTAATAGACACAGTGAGAAACTGTTCCCTAACGTTTGCTAATAAATGAGCGACATGCTGCTGGTAAAAGGATCAGATCCCACAGAGCTTTAGCTTATTCTAGTTTTTTTTTTCTTTCAAATTTTAAATTAATTCATAATACACTCTAAAAACTCCTGCAACTCAAGTTGCATACAGTAGAACAAATTGTACTATACAGTCTGAAATATAAGAATTGAAATAAAGAAGAAAATGTAGGTTGATCATGACTTAAAAATATGTACATCCAGCGAGAGTTCCTGCGTTTGTCATGGCAGTTTCACGCTTTCAAGAATCGTGCCTACATTGAGAGGGTAACGGCTGCAGTGGAAAACCAAATTTAAAAAAGGATGTGGTACCACTCGAGTCAAGCCGAGCCGTACAAAGCAGAGGAAATGTTTCGTGTTCACTTGGCTGCAGCAGGTAAAGTGAAGCAGTTTCTGTGCATAAAGAATGAGATAACTGCTGCTTGATGGATCTTAATGAACAAGGAAAGGCTTCACTGCCGGACAAAGTACCTCTATGTTTCAGTAAACACCAACATGTTTGTGTCTCTGTACAGAGACAGAAGACGTTAAGATCTTGTACTATTATTTAGATTCGGGGTTTTTTTCTCCAAATTTTTCTCAAATTGAAAAACCTGTGCAGCAGAAATGTAGTAAGCTAAAAGATGACTACAATAGAACCAACCGTCTTTTCCATCTTGATTTTCTCGTCGTCATCTGATGTCATCGTTTCCCAATTTTCAATCATTTTAATGTGCAAGTCAAGAAAAACCTGAAAGCTCCTGACTGGTTGTGGTGTTGCTTTAGTTGGAGTGAAGGGAGAGAGCGATTTTGAGGCAGCCCAGCTCTTGGTCCTGGCTGCCCAGGACGCCCTCCACACGGTAGTTACCGTTAGTCAGCCAGGAGGGCAGATCCATGTGGGGCAGGTAGAAGTCCGACTGAGGCAGAGAGTACGAGCCCTGAGGGGACAGAGAGCAGGAAAGGAAAGACAGCAAAGATCAGAGGCGTTCTGGGTAGTCTGGGAAGGATATGTGGCTCCCGCAAATGTGTACATTAACTACAGTTTATGACAATTATAACAATGCTGATATGGTACAATGTGTTAAGTGTAATTACAGAAAAAAAAGAGTGTAATATATGTGGCAGGGAGGGAAGATTCAAGTTGCTTTATGGGAAATGTAGGACTGAGCGATTTTGAAGCTTGATCCATTCAAGCAAGTCGAAGTCATATCTTGGCCTCTGCTGCTTTAGTTTCAACTTTTATTATTATTATTTTTTAAGTCGGTCTCATGTGAGACCCCCAAATTTAAGGAAGTGTAATATTAAATGTCTGGAGCACCTCTTAAGATGTATTTGTTGGTTTTGTTTCAAAGCACTGATGTAATTTGTTATTATGGGACATTTGCAGAATTAGTGACATCTTTTAAAGCATTTCTCAAAACGTATCTTTTAAAAAAGGTTTTTATTAATGCTAGCACAGTGTTGGATTATTATTATTTTTTTTATCCTATATTATTATATTTTATTCCATTTCACGTTGTGTATTTGCCTCACTGCCTCCTGAAATTATTATAAATTATTATTATTATTATTATTATTACTTCTACTACTTTGGAATGCGGGAGTTTTTTCTTCAAAATCACAAATTTGGGGGAAATTTAAAGGGAAATTTTGGGGCGCTCTATAACAAAAACATAGAAAATACTGTTGCGATTTCAGACGTCTGTGGTTTCACAGTGATTATACTTTCGTGTCTAAAATGAAACTCCGATATTTCCATTTGCAATAATGTTTAATAAAAGTAGATATTTTGTACCATTTCCCCATAACTGGTCGCCAAGTTCTTCTTTGTCTGTCTGTGTCCAGTACACAAACTGTAACTTCAGAAAACATTTTGATATACTTACTCTCTCTGACTAACTTCAGATTTAACAGAGTTTTCAGAAATGATTTAGACATTATCCAAATGCCATGGTAGCTGTCAGCCATTTTGCAACCAGTGTTTATTGCTGTGTAATTTAATGCACACATTAATGCAACATTTTCTATTATCATATGCGTTGGAGGGGATTGTGCTGCCTTGGCAGGGGATATAACAGAGTGCTTTACAGTTTATCACTCTGTTTCATTCTTTTGCCTTGACGCTGTGTGTGGATGGTGCAGTGAAAATGTGTCTCTGGTGTGCTAAAGTCTGTTTCCCTTGATAAAACACGGGTGATCACACAGTTTCTGTAATCACTGTTGAGAAGCAGGTGAACAGACAGTTTTGTGTGTTATGAAAAGACTCACAGCTTGGAAGGGGCAGTGGCAGGGCAGCCCGTAGGTGTGTAGCGGTTCAGGACAGTCCTGACCCGGAGGGATCAGCTGGTTCAGAATATCACATGCATCCTGATAGTGACAACTGCCCATCTCCTCCAGACAGGGGACCTTCACCCAGAAACCTGCCACCTCCTTCTCCAGGGTCACATTCAGCTGATCAGGAGTGAAAAGGGAGGAGGAGATGACAAAACGTGAGGGTCTTGTGGACAGCGTGGAAGAAAAAAAACAACTTCTCATCGTCAAGTTAAAAATGATCTTGCTAAAAACATAAACACTGAACAGTTCCTTAAATATTAGGTTGGAAATATCTGTAAATAATAGTCAAATTAAAAAACAAGATTATACACAGCGTTACATGTGATCTAGGCCCATCCCACATCCAGGACCTGGTCAAACCATACACCCCAGCCCGTCCACTACACACTGCTTCAGCCAATCAGCTTGCTACTCCCTCAGTACGAGGGGGGCTCAGCCACCGCGCTACAAAATCAGGCCTATTTCTGGTCCTGGCTCCACAGAAACTCTGCACATATTTCATCGCGGACTGAGAACTCATCTGCAAGACTGCCAAAAAAATTAAAAAGGAAACTCTTTCTCCATCTCTTAATGTTCCTAAATGTAGCACTTGAAGGAGCAGACTTGAGGTTTTGCGTGATTCTTGCAATTTTTAGGTTATGTCAGCATGGTTGAAATGCATTGGTAAGCAGCTTTTGACGAAAGTGTCAGCTAAGTAAATGTAATCTAATTTATGGAGCCACAAAAAAAAAAAAAAAAAAAAAAAAAAAAAAAAAGGTGTCAATCTCTAATATCACCTTAGAATTTAAAAGATGTAAGCTCAACATGGACGGATAATAAACATACAAAAGTAAAACAAAAACAAAAAGAGAGGAACAACAAGACTGTGTAAAGAGTGAAAGAGACAACTGAAAGAGATGAAAAAGTACAAAGAGGAAGTGCCGAGTTGAGCTTTGAGGAAGTCACATGAGACAAAGAGACCTTACTCTCTGGTAACTGCAGCAGCAAGAGAAGTGATAACCTTATTATCACTCGGTCATGACAATGAGTAACTTAATGTAACCTTGCAATGTATGTCAACAGGAGGCAAGAAACTTTCCATCTCAACTGAATGACATTTAAACCCTGGTAAAGTTTGTCTTTCACCAGTGAATCTGTATCAGCTCCGTCTATAGTTTGTACCTTTATAATAGTGAGGTTGTTTTGCTCTGTTAATTTGTGAAAATACTGCTTATGGCAATTATATTTATACAGAACATCACACTAAGGAAACTTAATGCGGTTTACATTAAAGTAGATGAAGCCACAGGCAACATGAGAAAACCACACAACCATTTTTCTTTCTCGCTGCTGCATGAAAAACAAGGTTCAGCAGACCATCTGCTTTGCTGAGTACAGTCCAAATACTGCAAATACGATGTATGTAGTTTATTAATTATAGTCCAGAACTGAAAAGGCTGAATGAAAAAAACGTACTAAATATTTTTAACCCAGGTTTTGCTTGTGAACACATTCGACAGTCAGTAAAACACTTTATCACAGTGACTCACGCTGCAGTTATCAGACCTTTTGTGAGAGTCCATGTGATCAGTTTTGGCACAGTGCGGTTTGTTTACTCTGCTGGTGGGAGCATCACAGTGATCTCTACAGTATCAGACACATTTTTTTACTTAACTAACTTGTGGAATGTCCTGCAAAACACGGTAATCAAACAATTTAGATATGAATCCTCATTCTTGTTCATTCATCGCAGCGCCTGTACATTTATTTAACAGAAGAACTAAATCAGTAAGAAGGCTTTGCGATTCAGAGGCTCAGAGGATTACAATGTTTGGAGGGAGTTTTTTAGTTTACTAATAGTATAGTTTATGTATTAAACTAGTCATGAGTCATTGCTTTACAGCCAAAACTGGCTCCTAAACCTACTTCTGCTGGATCCTGAGATAAACAAACAAGACCTGCAGTCATCGCTGGGGGAGAAGAATCTGATCACAAGCTTTAAGGTGAAATTAGAAAAAGTTTTGATGGCATTAGAGTAGAAAATGAATGAATGAAATGAGAAAATGAAAGAAACACTATCAGGGGACAGTTTTTTTTCTCTCAATAGAAAAAACAAACTGTGCACCATAAAACCCCACAACATTTATGAACTTCGGAAACTGAATTAAAAACATAAAGCACGCTATTAACTGTACTCATTTTAGATACCAGTATTTTGGGCATTTAACTACTTTTTCAAGACTTTAATTTCTAAATGTTTGCTTTTTCTTATGGAGTTCTGAACTGTTTCTTAGCCTCTCAGTTTCCTTTGATAGTAAATCCAAAGAAAGAGCCTGAAACAGTGAAATTCTATGTCAGCGCACGGCACTGATCTGCCCACATGAAGCTCACAGGATCGGCAGCAGATCCAGACACGCCCGTTTGTCCTTCACAAAACAGCCGAGAACCAGTTAAACAAGACAATTAAGCTAGTGTTGAGTAATACTGTATCAATGGTCTTATGGCTCAAACACACTTATCTGCAAGGTCGGAATAACAGAGACTTAATGATTACTTCACCAGCTGCTGAGATTTCTGCCTTTTAATCTTGCTTTATTTAGAGACTAAGGAATCTGTTTGACAAAACAGTAATGCACAGGTGTCCCAACATAAAGAAAAGCAACAACAGACTTGGTTGAGATCATATTTTTGTACTGTTTATAAGGACAGCCTCAGTGTACTCACAGCCAGGGGGAGAGCTCAGCTCTACAGATGTGGATCCAGAGGCTGAGGCTCGCAGGTCTCCGGGGATGGAGATCGGATCTGGAGACACGGTCAGAGTCTTCAGTACAGCTGGAGCATCTGGCTTCCCACAGTTTTTCCAGTCAAAACCCAAAATCTGTCCACAACACAAAGGGTTAACGTGTAGAATCAGTCAACACAAACCAGCGGGGTTTTTTATCCCAGCTTTCCACACAGGTTTTAGTTCATTTACATATATTCTCATAAAATCAACCTGAAACCTGAGTCCCATCGCAGTTGTTTTTAACACAGTATGTGTCTTTGCAGTCACCACAATAAAGAGACGGGAGTTTAAAAGTCCTTAAACAACATAAATTAATACATTTGCTTTTAATTAGACTTTTTAAAACATGTTTTAACTATTTTTTCTTGTGAAGTTTTAATCATGTGTTTTATATGCGAACGTTGAAGACTTCGTGAATTTTCTCTTTTTGTAGATATAATTCTTATGTCTGTAAAGAGCAATACACTAAATAAAAGGTTATCACATGACCCAAAGCAAGTGCACATAGACGCTCATACCATGTTAAACAAATGAAAACCAGAGGCTGCAAATAAAGTATGTATATTTATCAACTAATGTCACAAAATATTGAAAAATATGTGCAACGTGATTTCTTAAAAAAAAATTCAAAGCCCTCACATTTGACCACAGATGTTTTTATGTGTTTGATTGTTAAATGACTTAATTATCTTGGCAAAAAAAAAGAGAGACTTAGCTGAAGAGCCACTAACTAGCTTTATCCGGAGCTTTCAACCACATCTCACGGTCTTCTTCAGTGGATGGAATTAATAATAGATCAATAATAAAATAACAACAGACTAGACAAAGCGCAAGAAAAAGCTAATGATTGGATCTTGAGTTATCTTGTTTTGGGGTTGTTGTTTTATTTGGTCAGACTTTAAAATTCAAGACAGAATTTAAATATTTTTCTTTAAATATTGCTTATAATTAAAAGATTAAAGGGTGTTGTGCATGTTTAAAAGCACACATTACGGCCTGAACTGATTATAGTGGTACATTATAACGCAGAAGTACCGACGGTCTCACCTGTGCCTTTGTGACTCTCTTCAGTTTGGAGGGGCTGCAGTTCACCTGAGTTATAAGAACTACAACCAGGCTCAGAGTCACCGTCAGAGTTGACATTTTATCCATCCTGTCGCCTCTGAGCGCAGATACCGACACAAAACGGAGGAGACACGATCCGCGACGGCGAATGTGCGCCGTTAAACCGACAGACGAAACACAACTGAGGAAACACTGAAGCCACAGCCGCGTCTGCGGTGCTGCAGCTACTTCCGTGTTTACTACCGCACCTAGTCTGTCACATGACCGCCGAGTCATGTGACCTACACACACGCACGTGCACACACGCGCACACACACACACGCACACGCGCACACACACACACGCACATGCACACACACACACGCACATGCACACACACGCACACACACACACACACACACGCATACACACACGCGCGCGCGCGCACACACACACACGCGCGCACACACGCACACGCACACACACACCATTGATCCCATTGATAAAACTTTATTGAACAATGCAGAGCAGGGAAATACCTGATAAAAGTCTTCATAACAGCTCTAAAATAAAAAAAAACAGCCTAAAGTAAGTTAGGCTAAAGTATGAAATATATGAAACCAATCATTATGAATAATAAAGAATAAACTAAACGTAGGACAATGAAGTAATGTCCCTTGTATTTTTGTATGAAATGTACCCGAACACTCAACTGGATTTTAAAAGAAAAGAAGAAGAGTTACCAGTAATAGTAGTAAATTCAGGATTTGATTATTAGCTAACATATTTCATATTATATCTTTTATCATTCATCCATACTTATATATATATATACTCCTACTTATATATAGGCTATATAGGCTGTATTCTATTTATTTGAGTAGGCCTATTTCATTTATTTGCTAGTATTTTTGGGGTTGATATTTTCACTGTGTGTATTTTTGGTAAATGTCATACACATGATCAAAAACAAAATCAAACTTTACTCACAGTTTAGTTGAGTAAACAGGTACCAGCACTAGGCCTATGATCGTTTCCCTCTTCTTAAAAAGGTAGATGTGAAGTAGACTACGTCACTATGTGCCTCTGAAAGTAAAACAAAATAAATTAATATCAATGTTTCTAATCTGAAGCACTTTTTTATTAAACATTTGATAAACAGGCCTACATTAACTCCAGTAGGCCCAGAAAGTCTTATCCAACAGCTCAGCAGCTGGGAGGTGTTGAAAATGGTTGAGACAATCTTTTAGTTGCACGTTAGCGCCTTTAGAGGTCGTTGTAGGCCAGCTATTTCCCCACATGGGCCTCCACCACACACACACACACACACACACACACACACACACACACACACACACACACACACACACACACACACACACACACTAGCCTATATTATCGGCAGGCTGACCTTTGCAGCTGATCTGAGATATCTGGAAGAAGAGACCAAACAAAACAATTTAAATACATTTAAATCACATTTAACAGGGTGTGATGGAGGCCTAGGTGGTGGGACATATGATCTGTGATGATGCAGGCTATTTTTGTAACCTAAACTATTATTCAAACAATGATGACGATAGGTCATTAATAATAATAACCCTATCTATAATCATAATAATATATGCATGGCTGTGACTGGCCAGGTTATTCCTTGTTTTAACAGCTACTGAACTTGAATGCAACCCTTATCTGCTGATTGAATGTCCGCATTTCGGACTCTCCCAGCAGCACTTGAACGCACCCGAACTCCCCTAATGTTGGCTTTTAAGTGTCAAAAATGTACTGTTTCATCATAATATCTGGGCTAAGGTGATGAGTATCAAGCTAAATTAAATTCAAACAGAGCACTGAATTCATAATGACAGATCACATCTCGCTGTGCACAAATGGTTTTGTCCGAGTCAGCCTGCAGCATTTAGAAAAGAGGAAGAGGAGAAAGGAGGGAGGGGGACGGAGGAGGGATTCAGGGGAGCCAGATGATGCTGTCAGTGGAAGGAGGAAGAGGAGGATCCTGTCCGCCGGCTGCAGCAGCGCACCGAGCTCCTCTCCATCCCATGTGTTTGGAAGAAAAGGAAATGTGCTCGGATCCAGACATGTGCTGCTAGAATAGACCTCTGTATAGCTTTCTTTTCTTTTGAATAACCGTGTCTGGTTATAAAAAGGCAGCGGTGGGATATATTTCATCACTCTTTTCCTGAAAATGCTTCCCTGCTCATCATCTGCGCAGATGGAGGGATGCGAGGAGGAGAGGGACGCACACATGCAAACAGAGGTAAACCGATAAAACACACACACACACAAAAACTGCTCAAATGTTTGCTTCTAATCGAAATGATGCTGCATGTACTGTGTCCAGAGATCCGTTCATTTCATTCGGGCTCTGATGGGACATTTTGCCAGGCTAATTTCAGCAGGTATGATTCGCCGGCCGGCTTCTCCTGGCGGTTATTGTAGACATCAAAGAGCCGGACCCCTCCCTAAATCTGTCGCTCCTCTCGCCATTTAAGAGGAGAGGAGAAATTATTCTTTAAATTTATATCACTGGTTTATTCTGGTGGTTTCAATGGGGACGTTAAATGATTTCTAAGCGGATTTTAATCTTTTTAAAGAGAAATGTGCTGGCAGTCTTATTCTGGGCTGGATGTCTGATACCTCTTAATAGCCACACAGAAAAGGCCTAGTATCAGATTTTGAATTAAATTTAACATAATTCTATACATTTGTTCATCTCAATGGATTTTATCTATTAAACAAAACCTTCATTACACCCACAGCTGCCTCTCATCTGCTGTTTGGTGGATGATTTTATCCTAAACACTCCAATATAAGGAGCGGATATAATGGGAATTCAATGCTTTACCCACTTTCCTACCCAAGAACATGAATGCACAACCCTTGTAGTGTTTGCTAGTTCCTGGCTCCACCCTTTGACCTACAAGCCCATTATCAAACCTCTGTAAACCTGCAGTCTGTGCCTTCCTTCCTTGAGTAAAATGGGGAGCTGAACCCTCCACCTTTGCAATGGTTGTTTGTACCTTGCTCCCCACTGACCTACAAAGAGGGCATGGAACCAGCAACCCAACCTTGCTCTATTATAGTGTTTCAAACTGAATCTGATCCAGTGCCTTGCTCTAGCAGCAGAGAGGCTGGGAATTGAACCCCCAAGTGTAGAAAAAAAAAGAAATAAATCCCCTTGCTCATTACATTGGGAATTTAACCCCTACCCTGTAAATGCCTTGCTCCAATCCAAGGAAAGACAAATGTCAAATGAGTCTGTTAGCATTCAACAACTACAACTCCCATGAGGCTGTGCCAGCTCCTTTGTGGCTAATATGAGAGATGTTAATGCTAAACCAAAAAATTATCTTCAGCATGGAAGTTTATTCTAGATCTCTGGGAATCAATTTAATCAACGTCCACTTACTAACTTTCAGAGCTTTTATATGCATTTCATTCAGTGAATGGTGCTTGCTCAAGTGTGTCATCACGTGACACCTGACCACCACAGTCACTTGTTAGTTATGATTGAAGTTCCACACTTGACAAATTACTTTGCCGTGCACTGAATGAAGACCGGGAAATGCAGTTGAAAGCTTCTAAGTGGACTTTTGAGCTGATTAGTTTGTTACATAATTGTATTATTTTGGTTCACATTTTGGAAATGTGACCGTTCAGAATAGCAGTAAATACTAATGTATTTTAGAATATGGTGCTGAAACAATTAGTCGATTAATCGCTTCAGAAAATATCAGCATCTATTTTGATAATCGATCATTTAAGTCAAATTTGAAGCAAAAATGTCCAAAATTGTTCAGTGCAGGTTCTCAGTCGTAAGAGTTTGCTGCTTATCTTTTGTGTTATGTGATAGTAAATATAAGTTCTTTGTTGCAATCAATCAGCACATTAATCGAAATGAACCCATCTGGTTTCATCTTTGTAGACAGACAGAAGAAAGAAACCTTCTCTTTAAAAATATATTGTGTGTCAGATCAGAATCTAGCTTAAAACGTTGGTGGACCCTCTGTTCTGGAGGGTTGCTGCATAAATGTCTGATCTAAACTTTTTTTAAATGCACAGCAGGTGCATACATTCCCAACAATTAGTTCTGCTTTTAATGAAGCTAGAATTAAACATTTAACAGGAACAGCACAGCTTAACCAAACAAACTGTAACCGTACTTACTCTGAAAATAATTGCAAACCACATATTGAAATCAGTCATCAGAATACAATTCTGTTTTGTTTCAGCTGGAGTGATGCATCGCTAATAAAAGAAAAAAAATGCTTCAAATCAAAGCTACTCAGCAAAATGTGTTATCATTAAAATTCAAAGCTGAGTGTTTATGTGTTTTAATTTAAGAAAAAAAGTGTACTCGTGCATCCCCGTACTCACTGAGAAGCACAGGGATTTTAACCCGCTCACCCGGGCAGCGTCAGTGCCTTGCTGTCTGCCGGTGAACCCGCCGCCCTCGCCGTGCTCCTCAGGGAAATCTGAGCTGACAGTGTGTGAGACTGCAGGTAGAGCTGGGAGAAAGTGGGCCAAGTACTTCCTGCTGCTGGAGGAGAGAGAGAGCTGGATGCTGTGCGCCCTTTTTGTCCTTTTCGTCTTTGAATATCGTCTTGGTTTTGTCGCAGTCACGCCCTTTCAAAGAATACAATTTTAACCGTTACATCCCCATTTTTGTCTTTAAATGCCATAATACCATTAAAAAGATCTGTTACTTCAAGTTGAGTCAAAATCAGAATAGGGGTGTTTGAGGTTTGGTTAACATTTTGACCGTTGTGTAGTAGTGCCCACATTTCCAAGGCAAATAAGTGTATTTTTAACATTAAAGATGTTTATAAATTGGTATGTTTGATTTTAAGAACGTTGCATTCTAGCCCATTTACACTTGGCAACATCCGTCCATCCCTTATCTATAACCACTTATCTGTGCAGGGTCGCTGGCAGGCTGGAGCCAATCCCATGGCATCACCATGGGATCTTAATGCCCATATGTGGAAAATGCATTGTGATTGGATCTCAGTCAGGTGCAGCTTAAATGCAATCCGTGCAGCATGGCCACATTCTTAAGAGAAAAATCCACCCAGGAGGTTAAATGGTCACCTGACTATACCTCTTCCTGCTAAGTAAGCCCAGCAAGAGCTGGAAATTGTTGCAGTAGCTGACAAGTCCTCCCTCACAAAAAGTGATCTGGGTCTAACTGACCCATGGCATGGCTTTTAAATCTGTCTGTATCTACATGTGATGAATAATATGTCTGGACTGCTATCAGAATCCGAAGGGGACAAAGAGTGCCTGAATGCATCATTAAACAGTTGATTGACCTGCCTTGAGGGTTTACGAAAGGCCAGAAAGGACACGCCAGTTGTGTCCTCCAAACTGTAGCAAGAGCATTCAGCATCTCTCAATCACTGATGATCACAATGTAGTTAAAACATGACATGAAACGTGTGACATGCATTCAGACTCCTGAACCTGCACGTGTGACTGTCCGTTAAGAGGGGCCTGGAGGGCAGATTAAGCTCACCTGGACTGAAAGTATATAATTAGATGGCAATCGGCCAGTCTTTCTCCTGGTTTCCATCTTAACCATTGCTTTGCTTGTAGTTCATCTCTCTTGGTTCCTTATAGTAACTTAAGAGAGAGGTTGTATAACAGATTTACTTACTAAGGCCACTGAAACTGATCTTAAACTTATGAAGTACCTTTTTATAACTTTTCAGAAATGGCTTGAGAAATGTTATAACTACATTTCTTAGATGCCATCAGTTCATTTTGAACAACTTTGAGTGCTGTCATCGCCCTCTCGTTACATCACTGCACTCAAAGAGGTACAATCAATGGTAAAAACATTATGAAGCCATAACTGCTTCGTTATTGGCCTAAATTTGATGAATATTCAGAGGTGAAAGTATCTTGTTACCAATTGGATCAGGGCCATTATGTATATTTTGTCACCACATTGAATAACTGCAGTAGTTTATACTATTTATTGTCTTTGTTTGCTTACGGTTACTTTTGCGGCACAGAAGGTCAGTGAATGCCTCACGAGTTCCAATTACCATTTTAAATGAAACGTGTTCAAAGCATTGCATATACTCCACTATTGACTGCGGTCATGTAGAAGGCCACTGTACATCTCTGTCCTATTAACAGAAGAGGCAGTAACTTCAGTTCTGATCAATGATGAGATGATGTCATTCCCTTGTTAAACCAAGATTAGACAGAGAGGAAAAGAGGATGAAAAACAAACTCTAAGTGGATTGAAAAATCACCACAAATAGTTATTCGGTTTGGTTGAAAACTCTGTAAGAGTGAGCGCAGGCATACATTTGAGGGTGAGTTGGCGATTAAATGTTTACCTATTCAGCATTTCTGCTTGCACAGTAAAAAACACATTTAGTGCTTCGTCACCTTTAAAGATGTAGTACTCTGCTGTTTAAATAATGGAAACGCATTTGGACAACAAATTACAACACATTTGGATTATTAGTCTGATGGCCGAGTCCAGCTGTGAAGTGTGATGGTGTGCTGGAAGTATTTTTTTTTTGTTTAACATTCTCTCCTCGTTGTTCCTCAGCTTGAAAATACAGTTGTTGTGCTTTTTGATCATTTAATATTTAGCTTTAAAATCACCGTGTTAGTAATTGCTGTTATTTAGGACAGTTTCCAGTCAACAGTAAGGATATGTGTACACCTTTAAGCAAGCTCCCAGCAGTTTGCTTCAGGCTTTGGATTAGACTACATCAATCAGGTTACTATCACATTGGACAAGATGTGGCTGATTTGGAAACAGCAAGTTGGAACTTTTGTTTAGGTTTTTGTCAAGCTGCTTTCTCAAAGGTCAAGAATGAACCATCAAGGACATCCGTGATTCTGTTTCACACTGAAATGCATCAAATAACTGAATATTTTTTTAACACACGTGTTCATCTTTTGACAGTTTGAGTTTGGGCAATAATGAATGAAAAATGAAGTTAAATTGTGTCCTTTCCATCCAGAATGAGTCAAAATGAAATCTATAGTTTGTCCTTGAGTGTTGACGCAGGTTCACACTTGTTAACCTCAGTGACGTCTGCAGTTGCGGCTGCTGTCACCCAAGTTTCATGCCTCCAACATCCAGACTAGGCTCCTCCGCAGCTGCTCATCCTAAATATAGCATAACAAGGGATACTTACATCAGCTCCTGTGGATGTGAAAATGAGTAGCTACAGCCTTTTTGCCTTTTGTAGGGCAGCCGTCAAGTCAGCAGGAGCTGAAAGAGTCAGTCTGTTATCAGAAGTGAAGGGCTGTCTGTGTTCAAAGGGAGGCCGGGCAACATTTTGAGATGAGCAGCAAGGAGGGGGATCCGGCAAAAATAATGTTAAGATGGAGAACATGGAGAGCAGGAAATCTTTCTGCTCTTTCCTAGTATCCTCAGACAAAATTGGCAGCTGCTAAAATTTATTAAATCTTTTTGTCTCCGGGAATATTTGTAGATTTCAGAGATGTTAGACATGTTCTGCTTTCCATTAAAGATGCATTTAAAGCCACCAAGGGGAGTTTTACGTGTTTTGAGTTTCTTAACCTTGTTCACTGGACAGGAAATAGATTGTATAATAAGCGGACAAGGAAAATCATTTCTAAAGTTCATATACTGATGTTATATATAAAGAGACAACATTTTTGAATGCAAATTTGTTTGGAGAGCAAAAATCATCAATATCAAAAGAATAATTCACCATGGTGCCCCTCCCCCACAACGTTAAGTGTGGAGGTTTGGTGTGTTTCCAGTCGGGGTGGGAGGTGAAGGCAAGGTGTTGGCACACCGATACCTGGAATTTCACCTCTCTGGTGGAGAAGAAACTGGAGTAAGTCAAGGTGAAACAACTGCACAAAAGTACAGCCAAACTCCTGGGGTCATTTTGTAAAATGAGTACTTTACGTTTGATATTTAAAGTAAAGTTAGTTTACAATTAGTGCAATTTTTTTTATTTGAGGAAAGTAATCACTACTTCTTAGCAGGCTCCATGGTAGATCGTTACCTGTAGGTTTTAAATATTGACTAATAGAGTACTTAAAGTGTTTTGGGATGAAGCTGGTGCAGCTTAGTGTGTAAACTCCTCTGAACACACAGTCTGTGTTTGTGTCTGACTCACAGTGTGTGTGTAACTGTACTCTGTTGGTATCAGTGACCTGTATATTCAGTCTGTTGTGGAACTCGATCTAATGCGTTGACCCTGCTGTCTGCTCCCGCAGTGCAACAGACTGACGGAGGAGAGAGACGAGGCTGAGAGACAACTCAAACACATCAAGAGAGGTGAGTCAAGCGTCCCGCAACTTCCTCAAACTCTCTCCCCCCAAGCAGTGTTTAAACTCACACAACTTTATTTTTAACGTCTAAAACAAGATGTAGGAAGGATTTCTGAAGTAAGACAGACACAGTGAAGTTATTCTCCACCAACTGATGGATTGCCAGAACTCTCTTTGTGCAGACATTCATGTTCCCCAGGGGGTGCATAAACCAATAAAAATGCCACAGTGAACAGGCAGTGGTTTGCGTTACTTGTTAAACAGACCAGACATACATTGCCATGACAATTATGAATATGCCCACATGCTCAGATGTTGGTCTCACGTAAAACATAGCAAGACAACTTCTATTTCAGGAACCTAAATATACAGGAAAATATACATTTATACAGGAAAAACAAACAGTGGCACCAAAAATTACAATATTTTAGAGCTCCCCTTTAATTTCTAGGTGTGTCCGTCATTCTGAAATTACACCTCCAAACGCTAGTCGGCAGTAGCGCTACAGCGTCCATTGTGCTGACTTTTACCGGCCGAGCAGGCTACCTTCCGTTTTAGCGCTCCGCTAACGTAAATGGGGGTAAAATTGTAAACGTGCGGCTTGTGTAGCTGTTTTCAACCAAATGGATCACATTCTGATAGCGAGTCATTTCGCTCGGGTTGCGATGGTCAAATGTATTGATTCACTGTGTTACAGCCGCCGTTTTGGTCGCAAGTAAATGTTACTTCAAAGCGAGGGGGGGTTCCAGTCGGCTCGGAGGCATTGCGAGGCTACCCGGCCGACCAATCACAGAGCTTACGGTCAGCGTCGACTCGACGTTTAGTTCAAACCAGTCTAACGTTAACTACATAAAACTGTAACGTTACATAATCAACAATAAACTTGTAACCTGTTTTTCACTTACAGAGCACAACCATGTAGCCTAATGTACAAAGAGTCTACAACTAATGTTACTTTTACTATTACTATTATTATTATAATACTAATAATTATAAAGTACAGTAAGTCAACACATCCCTCTCTCAAACTCTCAAACCCAGTGTAACGTTATAACTAAATAAATCTGTAACGTTACGTGATCAACAATAAAACCTGTTTGCAGCCAAGGTTAATAACGTGATTGCAGACAGCAGGACTTAAATGATTATGTTAATAAACCACCACAAGTTTGGCAAGTAAACATACGCTCATTCATCTTTTCATAACAAACGACAGTTGGAGTTAAAGCAAGTAGCAAGCTAACGTTAGATGACCAGTGCTGAACTAAACATGTTTACTAACCTGAGGTTACTAACCCATTTTGCATTCAGCACTTCTTTTGTTTGGGCCTTGTTATATGACGTTTTAAAGCTTAAGTTTATGATGAATGGCACAGCAGCTGCCGGTGTTTGTTGTCCTCTCTCACGTGCGGCCGCGCGCAGCTGATACATAGCATGTTTACGTGGGCAGGTTATAGGTAATAACAGCAAGCTCATCAGAAATTTCCTAAAAATATACAATGTTCACAAGTCCCGCACTTCGAGTCCGAGTGAAGTTTGAAGTCTTTTGAGGACGAGTCAAGTCTGAAGTCACTGTGTTTGCAATTTAAGAGCGACTCAAACTCGAGTCCCCATCTCTGCCACGTAGCTCCACCGTATTTTAAACCCTGGCTGTACAGACTGTAAATCCTTTCCTATTCTATATAATAGAACTTACATGACAAAGCAATGGTTCCAAGTACTTAGAATAATAATAATAATAATAATAATATTAATAAAGAGCCAAACTTTCCAATGTAAAAGTCCAGGACAATTTACAGAATTACAGACTTCCAGTTTAACTTTTGAACACAGTTTACAGTTTTTCCTTCAATGAGGGAACATTTCAGATGTTTGGCGAATCTGGGTAAACTGTTGGTTTGTTTACAACCTGTCTGATTGTCTGACTGCTCGTGTTTTTCAACCTGTCAGACTTATTTTTACTGATGTGGCAGGGTTCCCGGGTCTCAGCTTCAAAAAAAGTAATAAAACTCTCGTAAACAAAAAATAACCTTTTTAAAAGGCCACATATATCTTGAAATGTACCCATCAACACACACAGTCTATCCAGATATCATGCACCACAAAGCAGACTGACACATCATCCCGCCTACAATCAGACAGCTGACACCTTCACTTCCTCCCTCTACACCTTTTCTCCTCACCTCTGACATCACCGACACCTTGTCCTCTGAACGGGTGTGTTGGGGAGGGGAGGGTGTCCCCATTTCCATGACCATTTCCAGGTTAGTTAGCCAACAGTAGGAGAGCTTTTGTGTTTTAGGGAGTTTAACCTCTGATTCTACTGAGTGAGAAGCTGAACCTCAGTCATAAACTGTTAGGAAGAAGGCTGATGTTCCTGTCATGACTATTCACAGAGGTAAGAGAACGCAGAGGTTTTAAAGCTTTAATTGATAATAATTCCATATCAAACCTTGTGTGGGTTAGTTGAGTCAGATGTTAAGGCTAATGTGTGGCAGGTTTTTTTTCAGAGAGGAAGTAAAAGAAGCTCTGCCCTTAATTTCTTTGCTTTACTAATTTGCATTTGTCATTATTGGCTAGTAATAATATACCTTTTTAAAAGCATTTAATGATACAGCAAGTGTCCCAAGCATGCATGTAAAAATGATCGTCTTTCCTAAATGATATTTCCTAATTGTGTAAAGAAATCGCAAAGAGAAGAGGTCATTGTTCAGAAGGAAACGGAAGAACCAGGCAGTCTCCGCCTGGAGTTCACCTCGGTGTGACATTTCAATTTTCTTTTACATTGGAATTGAACTGTACTTTAAAACAGTAAGTTGATAGAATGCATGCTGAGGGTGGAGGCATGAAGACTTTCAGCCTTCTTCTGGGTTATGTCTGTTCTTAAAAATAACCTTTACTAGGGATAACCACATTTACAAATCGAAACAAGCGACAAGGATGATGATGATAGTTGATACCTCAACCCAGAACCAATGTTTTAAAGAAGACTTTTCTGAATAGGGCAGTCTTTCATTTAAATGATTTAGCACTCTTTTATCATAGATAGCCAATATATTTCTAAATAGTCAATGGATAGGCATATTTAGACCTTCCTAACTGATTAAGGGTTAGTTTCTTATGACAGTCAAATGGCAATTCTGTTGTGTTGTTTTTGTGGGTTTGGTTGTCAGTGAGGAAAAAGAACGAACAAACTGATGAGTCTTCTGTTGATATTAGGCCATCCTGCTGTGGTGATTTATAGTATGTTGAATGTAGTGAGTTGAATTCTCTGGCAGTGGAGGAAGCATTGTCTTCCATGTATTGCAATGAAACGTAAAGGCCAATACATATTATGCAACTAGATTTGGCTAATGGCCATTTCTGTCAGAATTGTTCTGTAGAGGCCAAGGCAGATTTACGGTGGAGACATAGGCGTATAATTCAGTATTTTTCAGATTGATCCAATGAATATATGTATATTTATTTACTTGGATTAACAAGAAAAATTGATTCTTGGAAATAAAACAGCATGTAAAGTTTAATAGTAATTTAAATTGTTGGTTTTGTATTTTTTCCCCCCAAATCTGGATATTTCAGATTCAACTGTCTCATTGACCAGCTATGTCTTCAAACCCTCAAACTCAAAAATATGTTGTCACATGAAAAATGTCAAAAACTTGTCTGCAACAGCAAAAATGGACGTCTTCAAGTTGTGTAGTCTGAACAGCACGGTTTCAAGTCAGCAGAAACAGTGATCCTCCTTTTCATTGTGGGTTCTGTCACCTCATACGTTCAGTCTTTCATTCATTCACTCATTTATTCATTCACGTCTCTCCCCAGAGAAGACAGCAGTCTCTCTTGTCATGTTATTCCAATGAATTATTGAAACCTCCACCCATGAATAATTCAGCAGCAGAAAATGGGGGAAGGATGAGTGTGTGTGTGTGTGGGAGGGGGTTACCACTCCTGCCTGACTCTTTATCCATTGTGGTCCTTCATGAGGTCTTTCTACCTGCTACTTCATATTTGATGGCCACATTTACTGGATTTAATGATGGAGACTTTGCTCGCCATCAGGTACTTGATTTCAGGCTCGTTTGAATCTCAAAGGCCAGACTGAGTGAGTACAGCATAAATTAACTGACAGTAAAATAGTGAAAACATGACTTGCCCTGAGCCTCACTGTTAGATAATACACTCGCCTCGATGACTGCATGACTGCATTTAATCCGTCATCCATCTGAGTAGCTGAAAGATCTCGTGAATAGTTTTCTTTTTCCCCAACAGAGGTTGGTCCTGTGTGAAATAACTACACAAGCATTAAGTTAAGTTTAGGTAACTAAAACTACTTGCTTAATGCTCTGCTTTTACGTGGTGAAAAGAAACTCAAATCAGTGATTGAGGGTAAGACAACAAAACTGCTGTCTCCATTGCCGAAGTGACAAGCTTTTGTCACCTAAACTAAGAGGTCACTTAAGAAAATTTACCTTTTTTCTCTACAAATACTGAACCTCAGCTCTACTTTAAGCTTAATGCAAACATAGCTTGGTTATGTTGACATGCAAAAGATTACCATGATGCAGTTTCTAACTTTGTGAATACACAAACACAAGTGTGAGGTTCTTCAAAACACTACTAGACACCAACCTGATGTACGCAAGATAGCCTAAAGCCTAGTTCACACTACACAATTTCAAGCCCGATTTGCCGCTCGGCGCCGCCAGGCTGTGATCAGGGGTAAATCAGCAGTCGTTATGTGTGAACTACTCAACGAGACATCACTGACACATCGCAGATGCCAGCCGACGCTGAAAGTCGTGTAGTCTGCACGAGCGATAAGTGTTTAGGGAAATAAGCAGTAGACTTGTTTTAAGTTGATTTTGAGTAACGAACTTTAGCATGTTAATATCTTAATATTAAAACTTCTTGTAAGACAGAATGGGAGACCCTGCAGCAACAAAGCATGAGAAGATAATCGGGCAAAATAACATTTGCTTGTGCACTCATATTGTGCACACGTAGAGT